TACACAACCTAGGCTAACTATTTACTAAGTTTTGGAAAAGTTTCAAGGCTGTAGCACCTCTCTGTAAGCAGATATAGGTGCGGGGTTTTTTTGTCTTGCACTGTAAAATGCTTTCAAATCTGTGTTACTTTTTTCTCCTTTTCTAGCCATTTTTTGCTAAAACCGATTTGATACTAACCAAAAATATTCAGATTTCTGCTCAGAATGGTCTACCGCGTAGCACACACTTTAAAAGCGATCTGGTTGAAAGTTAATAAGACAATAGCTGCTGGATTTTGATAATAGACGAATGCTTTATGTTCATCCTTTTCAAATTAAAGAAACAATTTCTTACTCGATTATGTAATACGATTTATAACATTTAAGATTTATAAATCATTCATTATAACACATGTAATCAATTTTTCATTTGTGCTAATTAATTTATTCTTAAAGAATAATAAGTTAAACTGCATAATCGTTCAAGCTCATATTTTAATCTAAATATTACTTATTTATTTCTTTTTTAGGTTTAATAAACACCATATACCATTCATCTTCAACAGGTTCCTTAAATCCAGGTGCGGTAATAGAAATTTCTTGCTCTGCCGCATCATTATCTCCAGATTTTAACATTTTTACTCTTGGTAATTTAACTTTTCCAGGTGCTAAGGGAAAGCAATTAGCTTTGAAATAATATGGGGATAACGGTGATACAATAAAATATGTTTGTTTGTATCCTGAAAATACGAAAGCATCGTTGACTTCAACTGTTACGTGAACTCGAACCGGCGCAGTTGTCCAATTAATGATCTTAAACGTAAGTGTAAAAATTTGACCAACAATAGGGTTTGATGGTATATCTACAAAATTTATATACAAATTAAATAGATATCTTTCATTCTGTTGTATAATAAAGAATATTAATGTTACCCAAAATAACAGATAGCTCTGATTCATGTCTTTGAAGCTGTGGCACCATCATTGTTGTTTCTGTAAATGGAACATAAATGTCTCCAAAAGGTTTATTCCTAGATAAGAATAAAAAGTTTAGTCGTTTCGACAAATATTTAAATATCAAATACAGTCAAACCTCTATAATCACACCCTTGGTTTTAAGAATTTAGTGCTTATAGAGTTTGTGCTTATATAGAGGTTAAATTTTATGTGTTATATAAGTGGTTTTAAAAATTTATGTGATTATAAACAAATGTGACTATAGAGAAGTCTGGCTGTATTTTTTTTTTTTACCTTTTCCATTGAATATCAAGTAATCCTATGTCCACACTTTTGTTTGAAGATGCATCATTCAAAATTGTCAACTCCAACAAGTAATCGACATTAAATATATATCCTTGGCGCCATACTGTAAAGAGCTTATAAGTTGATGCATTAAAATAAGTGCATGGATTTTATTAACCTACCTTGTTCTAAAGATTCACTATCTAATTCAACTGAAGATGAAATAATCTCAATCTTTGTTTGAGCGTTTGCCTGATCCAGCTACAAAATGTATTATAAAACATATTACCAAACATTATATTAAAAAGGTGAAATTAAAGCACGATCGTATTTATGCCTCACCAAAATTAAATCAATTCCAGACACACAAATATCCCATGGTCCAACGCTGGTGATTTTGGCAACCAAAAAGTGTCGTTCAATTCGATCTAACGAAGAAGTTTCTCGTACATTACCAAATTCTTCCCCTTGAGGAGAAATGTTAAAAACGACAGAAAAAGGCGCTATAAACGGTATTCGAAATTCTTCACTCTTTTCAATCCAATTTTGGATTGGTGTTGGCGTTAAAGGTATTAAAGACGAAGTTGAATACAATACCTAACAAACAACAAATTTCGAATAAATATATATGAATAAAAGGTAAGTTTTAAAAAATGTAATAGATAATGTCACTCACGGTAAGTCGAAGAGTGCGCATATTTGTGAATTTTTTTCCAATAATGTATATAGTTTTGACACAAGATCCGTTTGAAGAAATCACACCAAGATCAATATCTTTCAGATGATTTGTCACATTCAAGTTAGAATCAAAAACAACATCTTCAGATTCTGTATTGATAAGCGATTCAATTAAAAAACCTCAAAGGAATAATAATAACATAAGTTAGTAGTCTATTATGTATGTACCTTGAGAATCTGAAATGAGTTCAGCATTCAATACTGCTTTGATATCTTCCGGTTCTAAATTTAATATGCTGAGCTGTATTGGATAGTGTTCATCCAATAAAGCAGGTGCCGAGTGAACAACCTTTATATCGAGCTTGGCTTGTTTTTGTGTCACCCTAAAAAAGAGTATTCTATAAGTTAAGAGATTCGTTAATTTGCATACAAGAATTGTAAAAATACTTTATCGTAGCACGGTCACCAGATCCTTCGATATTCATGAAAAATGGTTTTTCGGCTAAAGACATACGTATAACCCAGATAGATAATTTAATTTTGCGCCATTTAGATAAGATTGTAGCTCTACTGTAGTTATATCACTGACAAACCTTGTTCACCATCAGAGTTTTCTCCAAATTGCAACCATTTGCGCTTTATGGGTTCTTCTCGTGACGCATTTATATCAAACCGGAGCTCGATTTTCCAATTTTCTGATAACAACCCCAATGTCACAATTTGAAGCTAGGTACATGAACACGCGAGAAATATCAACGACGACTTATTTGGATTACAAGATTGAAAAACAATATTCATTACTTGGAGATCACCACTCTCTTTTGGAACAAGAAGGCCTTCAAAAACTTTTGTTGAACCTTTACGAAAAGTCAAATCGACATTCTTGACACATACATAGCCTTCACCGTTCACTTCTTCTCGTAGACATTCCTTACAATTTACCCATTGTAATTTTGTATCATTGGATTCATCGTTAGAGTTATGGGTAAAGTAATGGTTAAAATTTGCGTCGTTAAAAGATAGTCGTAAATATGTAAAGTGTAAAGGTAATGGTGGTGTATCTAATGGTGTTATGAAAGTAATTTGGAATGGCGTAGGAGTTGCAACAAATGTTGAGGGCTCTTTAAATTGTGCATAACAGTTTACTGTATTCGAAGATAATGGTTAAGGTCCGAAATTTTAAAACTTCGATATAATCGTCGATTAAATAACGGGCGAAATTACGACGCGCGTCGTCTTCATAATAACATATCCATGGAGATAAAAAAAAAAAAAAAAAAAAAGGCGAGCGAAGGATACCAAATGAATTTATCTCATTCATGTCTAATATAACTTGCCGAAAGTTGACCAAGCTTGAAATTTCCGTCTGTTTAAATCAAATTTTAATTATAGGAAAAAATATCAGATCACCAAAAATAAATAGATAAATAGATAAATCAATAGATAATATTAAGAATCATAATAAAAGATAATTTACCTTAAATATTACGCTCATCAATCTGGTTTGAATTTCTATCCTTTTTTGTTCGCTCATATGAAATTCTATATATTAATACATATAATTAATACGATATTCAAGATTAGCAAATCCAAATTTTCGTTCAATCAAACTTACTGTCAGACAAAAGTTCAATTAAATATTCAACAACATTGTCCAATGTGCCAGATTCCTTTGCACATTTCAAAGACCAATTCAAAATTGATTCAAGAATTGTGTGCCAATCTTCTTTGCGGTACGTTTTTGCTATGCGCTCAAAAAATCTGAATCAAAATGTCTCATTAGTTAATCGATCCAAAAACACGAAATGTAATACAAAAATATACTACTAACTTTAATGCCATATCGTATTTTCCTGCTTCAAAATAGGTTCCAGCGATTTCAGAAGCCAAGTAGAGTGTCATACGCCCTGCCTTCTGTTTTTTGAATTGCTCGTAACTTTTTGTAAGTAATTCTATTGTCAGTGTTGAATGATCAATATTTCTTTCTGCTTCAATGACGGATGATGGAAACTTCAAAGCATCACCGCTTGCTTGTATAATCTATAAAATAAATAGTTCAATTAAATTTCGATATTTCGAGGTTGCAAATTAACATATAATACTTGTTTTTTTAAAAATAATATCTTCGTACTAACCTTTTCAACAGCCAAAAATTTTTTTCTCCTCACAGAATTACACTGCGCAGCCAAATGATAATAAAACCCGGGGTGCTGAAGAACCATTGTCGGATTAACACCAGCACCTGCCATAGGACTATTTGATGTACCACCAAATCGATAGTCCGCTGATGACGTAGTATGAAATATTGTAGTTGGATCGGGTATTATAAAGCCAGATCTGGTAGCTATTTCCAACACATCGCCAAAAACTCGATACTGCTTTGATAACCACGACCAATATTCAAACGTATCGTCACCAATTTCCAAAGTATTGCACAATCGCTTAAAAGTTGCAATGTGTTTGTTTAACTGAGCCAACGCAGCGGAGGGAGCATCAATGTATAGGTTCAACTTGCAAATCTATCGTGGTGTTAATCATAAATATAAATATAGAGATACGATTGTTTTCAAAACAATACGAACATACCTTTAAATTTATGCAATCAGCCAAAACCCTGGCTTCAACCCATCGTTTACTACGTGCTGGTAAACCAGGAGCTCCGGGCGTGATTGCTGACTGTGGTGCAAGAAAGTCTACAAGAAGGGTGTAAGCTGACTCATAATAACTATACAAGAAAAACTATAAGCGCAAAATTTTAATAATATAAGTAAAAGTATACAATTATACAGACTGAGAGCTTACTGTATGGACGCATCTATTTCTTGCCGAAATTCGGCAAAGGTGGCCATTTTGTAATCGTAACGAAACATCCATCCTTGAATACTTAAAGGAGCAGGTGCTGATGAATGGTAATCAGAGGACGGACGAATGTAACCAGCAGTAGCAGGAGAAGGTAATCTAGTTCGTTTTCTTTTAACACGTTTACCGTGCTCACGATAATAATTCAAACTATGTTCGTAGAGCCCTTTTTGCAAGCTTATCATATTTACAAGCTCGTTAATACTTTGTTGAAAAAATAAATTTGAATTAATTTTCAAAAATAATAAAATCTGACCTGGACGTACGTTGTCACGAAATCTGCAATATCTCTATCCGGTGGAAGAGAAAAAAAGCAATTTCTTGCGTCTAGACCACTTGCCTTTCGGATATACAATAATCTTTCTTCGGTTAATGGATCCTCTAACATAGAAACATATGACTGTATGAATTATACCGACGATACTATAAAAAGAATCATAACAGATGATGGCACACCTGAGTGCTGCGCCTTGAGTAATATTACAGCAGCAAATCTAATGCCTCTTTCATGGAGAGATTTCCTATTAATATGGATTTATGTTAAGAAGTGGTTCAATACCAACTGGCTTTTCCTACTTATATTGATTAATATAAGCCAAGCCCACCTCTTTTCATTGATCTCCAAGGCCAAATTTCCATCTTTCTCTTTTTCGATGGGTTCTATCGACCCCAATAGTTCTGAGGATGTTAAAGATTCATCTTTTTCTTTTAATGTCCCACCCATAGATCGATGCCACAAATCATAAAATCCTACAACGACACTTGGTAACATTTCACGATGTTTGTGAACCCATGGTGGAGGAATTAAACCATCAGGAAAGACAGGCGAACCCGGTGTAAGAGGTGAAAGAGGTGAATGCGGAATAGTCATGGTTGAATGATGCGAAGGTTGTGGGGATCGCATCATAGGTTTCCGAGGAGGAAATTGATAATTCTATATTGTTAAAATTTTTATAATTTACACAATCGATCCCGGATTTATAAATTTATGACATGTTTATGAACTCGAAAATGATTCATGTAACTCTTAATTGTCTAACTCTTAATTATCTTAATTATCTATGCAATGTTAGCACAATCGATCCGCAATGCAAACATCTTACAAAACCTAAATCTACTGATAAGAATTGAAAAAAAATGGGGTATTTAAAATCATACATACCTTGTCTACTGCTACTACGTGAAACATGGTACCAGTGCTCTTCCCAAACTCCCAAACTCCAGCCTGACTTCTTGCTGTTAGTTGAGTAAGCAAATTCTTTGCTATTTGCTGTCTTGTTAAAGCAAAAGTCGAGCTGGTACTTAAAGAACTTTGCCGTGAATGCGTTGACTTGGAAGAGGCAGGCGAAGATACAGTGGTTTGTTCAACGAGATCTTTCGCTGTACCTAAACCAAACACTACCATCAAAGGTACATGCTGTAGAATAAATTCAGGAGGATAGCTATCCATGGTTATACATGGGTGTCGAAAATACTTTGCTCTTGGCGTGAATTTAAATGGTGAAAATGATTTGACAGTAAATGCCGATATTTCTATCGGTATCGGTATGTCGAAAATATTAAAATGCCATTTTTTTTGTGATTTCCCGTGATAATTAACCAATCCAAATATATAATTTTTAAAAATTTATCGTATACTACTATAGTCTGTTGGGCTCTGGACCAAAAGTTCGCTCTACTGGACTTATAAACTGGACTATTGGACTTATAAACTGGACCACTAGACCTATAAGTCCAGTTCCAGTTCAATTTTACTGGACTTATAAGCGAGCCCAATACTGACTACAGTACTAGAAAACGAAAAAAAACTTCATATCATATATAAAGAAGTTATAAACCGATAAATACATGCTAAAGAATTTATTACATATATCTAGAGAATAGATAGACACGCGTAAAGTGGGTATATGTTATATTCATTACTAATAAACCAAACTCATTAAACATTAATTCGTGATCCGCGTGGAGAAATTTACTATTGTTTTTGGTTCTACAAGTTACTCTCGTTATAGTTTATAGTGAAGAATTTGTTTAGAACAAAATCATTATTAATAAACTTTTGTTCGATATCCCTTAAACCGTCTGGGTTTAGCGGGCAAATTTGCCCGCTAAAATAATTGAAAAAACCTAAGCCTAAAATAAAT